GCAGCGTTTCCCTGAGGTGAGTAGAACGGTGTTTTAATGTGCTTTGTGCCGTATTTCTCCAGGAAACTGCTAAACATGTCAGACACAAATTGTTTTCCGTTATCGGAGTGTACGTATTCGGCGTATGGAAAGCATCTCTTTCTAAATAGTTTATGACCTAAGCTGAAGTTGCCTTACGCATTGGTTTTAAACAGACGAATTTCGACAAATGATCTAGACCAGTGATTCCCAAAGTGGTCCAGGTGGACCACGGTGACGTGAACAAAAAATGGGGGTCCATGAGTTCTAAATGCGGGTCCACGAAAATTTATCCGGTTTCGATGTAAAGAACCAAAATGTTTGCTTCATAGCCTCTTTATTTAACTTTAATTTTTTTGAGAGGTGTATAGTGCTTTTGACGCATTGCTGTACTTACCGTCACTTTGTGTTTTCATACGTGGGGAAGCCTTAATGGCCACCTGCAAACTAAAAAGAACCAGACGCTGGTATGACAATGAGTAGGGCGCGGCGAAAATTGCTGGCGGCAGAGATTTAAGCACTTGTGTCTTTTCAACGCTACAGGATAGTACGCCACCATTACCCTTGTTGAAGAGATTCTATAGTGTTGAGTTCCCTGCGACTACATGCTGGTTTGATTACATCGCTGCGACCGGACTCACACATTGTCGAATCTTCACTGATGGCTCCAAAACTGACTCTAGCTCATGATCTGGGGTATTTTTCGAGGTTAATAGAGATAAGCTTAACTTTTCTGTAGAGGAATATGCTTCGGTCTTCCAGGCTGAGGTAATTGCAATACTCAAAGCCATGGACTACGTGGTGGAACATAGGTGGAGGGGAAGGAGTTTACGTGACTGCAGTGACAACCAAGCTGCACTTAAGGCATTTGCCAGCCCTCTATTTAAGTACTTCCAAACTAGTTCGGAAATGCAAGTCTCGACTAAAATATGATGGTGAACATAACGAGGTGCCAGGTCATTCTGGTGTAGCTGGTTATGAGACATCTGATCACTTGGCCAGAGTTTGCTTAGACCAGGCATTCCTCGGTCCGCAACTAGTTTTAGCACTCCCACTTTCGGCAATCGAAGCCGCCATCAGAAACTGGGTGAATACTTCGCTCAGAAATGACTGAGGGGTATCGAGGGGATACAGGTGGGCATAACTCATGTTGCCTTCAATCTCACAAGGTCTATCTAATTTTTTGCTTTCACTAAACAGACGACACTGCAGAGAACTTGCTAGACTGCTTCACGTAGCACAAACACCTGACTGTGATAGGCGTAAATGACGTTTCCATTTGCCCATCTTGCCTTGAATAAGATGAGACGGTGGAACACTTTTTGTGGTTCTTCCTTGCTTGGGTATTTGTTATAAATTTTTTTTTAACTCGTTCTTTTCTCTATTGTCAGTTTCTGAAAAGTTTGGCGTAAACAGTTTAGCCCCTTTGATGTTTTAAGTTTTGTGTTTTAAAAATGTGATAAATATTTTTCGCCTCACTTTAAAGCTCGGAATCAAAATGATGCTATTACGACAAATAAACTATTTTACATATACTCCACGGGCAAAGTAATGAGTGAGCCGAACATTTGATGAGTTTATGGTGAAGATGATGTAAAAAACGCTAGCGCTCGCAATGCTTCTTAAAAAATATAACTCATCCGAGCGAGAGAGTATTTTGATGCATTTACGAGCTCTATTTTTTAAAACCTACAAGTGTGTAATCACATAATTTTTATAAATAGAACGCACGAAAATATTTTACTTTTATTTTGGCCACTCTGAGTTTCGTTTTTGAATTCACCCGCGATGCAAATTTACATTGTTAGATCTAATTTTCACATGTAATTTTTTTACGAGCTTTGGGAATATTTAGAAATGTATCGGCAGGGGGTCCACCTAGAGATACAAAGACATACACATTACCATCACAAGTACGAGGAAACGGACCCACAAAATCTATAAACAAACGCTGAAAAGGTCGTTCTGTTACATGTTGTTTGCCCATTAGCGGTCTCTTGAATACATTTAATGCTTTGTTTTTTTTTACGCACTTCACATTCTTTTATGTGTGCGCATACATCGGCTACCATTCCTGGCCAGAAGTATTTTTCGCGCAGACGTGCCAAGGTTTTGTGGATGCCACCGTGCCCAGCAGAAGGCGAGCCGTGAGAAGACTCAACCAGCCCCGGTCGCAACTCCGACGGAACCCAAAGCTTCCAGTCTCCTCGTCTCCCCTGTCAAACTGTGCTCGGCGGTACACGTAGCCGTCTGATACGCAAAGGTCAGGTCTTTGTTTTCAGTCACTGTCCTTATCAGCTCTTCATACTCTTCAGATGCAAAACATGGAGATTCGAGGCATACGTCGATTACTCTGTCGCTTACTTTTATTTCGTCCATATTCATTCTGGACAGCGTATCCGGGACGACATTTTGCGTGCCTTTTCGGTGCTCAATCTCAAAGTCGTAACCCTGTAGTTTCAGGCTCCATCGCGCCAGCCTGCCAGATAGATCCTTTTGAAGCATTAGCCACTTGAGGCTCGCATGGTCCGTAATTATTGTAAAGGGTAGACCCTCGACGTATGGCCTGAACCTCTTCACACTTACGATCGCCGCGTAGCATTCGAGCTCTGTAATGCTGTAGTTCTTTTGTGCTTTATTGAGCTTAGCTGACACATAAGCAATTGGTCGTTCGTTTTGGTCGTCGTCCAATTGAAACAAAACCCCTCCCACTCCGTCCGTCGATGCGTCACATTGGATATAAAAGCGTCTGTTAAAGTCCGGATGTGTCAGTACTGGCGCCGAAATCAAACTTTGTTTAAGTTTCTCAAAGGATTCCTTGGCTTCGTCAGTCATCGCGAATTTCTTAATCTTGTCTTTTGAGAGGCAGTCGTGCAGCGGAGCTGCAATAGTCGCATAATCCTGAATAAAACGACGGTACCAACCTGACATGCCCAGGAACCGCCTTAGCTGTTTCGGGGTCTTAGGTTCGGGAAAGTCCCTCACCGCTGCAACCTTGTTGGCATCCGTTCTGATACACCCATCCCCGACTACGTAACCGAGATATCGCACCTCTTTGTAACAGAACTTGCTTTTTTCTACATTTATTGTCAACTTTGCATCACGCAAACACCGAGCGACCTTTTCTAGCAAACATATATGAGACGAGAAATCTTCTGAACACACTAACAAATCGTCAAGATAAACAAATACACATTCACGTAACGAAGCCGGGATGACCTTGTCCATTAAACGACACATTCTTTGTGCCGCGTTACATAGTCCAAAAGGCATAACTGTAAATTGGTATAATGGTCGACCTGACACTGTAAACGCCGTCTTTTCCCTTGATTTATTTTCCAGCGGAATCTGCCAGAATGCGTCTTTCAGATCAATAGCTGAAATATATCTAGTATTTTGAAGTCTGCTGAGAATACCCTCTATATGTGGGAGTGGGTACGCATCCTTCACTGTCCTTGCATTCACCTTGCGGGCATCTAAGCAAAGGCGGTTTTTTGTGCCTTTGATTACTAAGGAGACTGGTGAGCTCCAGCTACTGTTGGACTCCTCAATGACTCCCATGCTCAGCATCCGATCTAGCTCAGCATAAACTAATTTCTGGATTGCGGGTGAAATAGGATAATGTCGCTGTTTTACTGGCAAATTCTCGTCCGTGACCTCAATGACATGTTCTTCTAACTCTGTCCGACCTAACCCTGATACTGCAAATGAGGGGAATTGTGATTTCACCCACTCTAACGCGTTGGATTGTTCTAATGTCAGTAAGTGCTGCACGGCGTCGAAGGATAGGTCACCATCGGCGGGAACGAGTTCAGCAACCCTAGCACCATCCGCACTCACATTCATCCCTTTGTTCACGACACTCATTCCGAAGGTTTGCCAGAAGTCGACTCCTAAATACACCTGTTGTTGTAGCCCAGGTACTATTAAAAACTCTAGCTCTCTTGTAGAACTATCCCACAACACTGGTAGCTTGATGGCCCCTATTACGGCGGTCTCCTCACCATTGGCAGTTCTGATATTTTGGCCCTTAATCGGCAGAATTAGGTCCTCATTACCCCGCAGTAGCGTATTCGCGTCCTTGCCCAGGCAGCTAGCTCCTGCCCCCGAGTCCAAAAGCGCTAGCACCTCGTGGCCCCCAATTTTAGTCTTGGCAAAGAATCGGTTATCTCCCTTAACAGTGACTATTGTTGAAATTATTTTATTATAGATTCTCTTAAAGTTTCTTTTCTTTTCCCTCATCTTGGCTATTTTCTTAAAATTCCTGCTTTTCTTCTTACTGACTATCTCTTCGCAAAATATTCTTCTACGCGCCTCTTCGTATTCTAGTTTACGCTGATGTAAACTTTTTACTTCCGGTTTCCCTACTATTCCCTTATTTACTTTAGTTTCATTTTCCTTTTCTCTCCTCAATATCTTTACTTCTTCACTTCCGGGTTGCCCATCTCCTGGCTGAAAACCCCGGTTATCTCCGCCAGTTTGGAGTTTCCCTTATTATTTTTGAAGACACAAAAGGACGAGTCACTACCACAAGCAAAACACACCATATTGTGGAACGAGGACTTACATTTAGTTTCCTTTTGGGCTTCGGCCGGGTTTTTAGCAAAGTGATCCACCGGCATGCCACACGCGAAACACAACATCAAATGGAAGGGTGAAGGACAAAAGGATTTCACGGTAGACTTGGACGTATTAGGACAAATAGACGTGGATGCCGACGTACCATCACAAACTTTCACAGGGACGACGTGTTGTGGTTTCCTACTAGTCTGGTTCCTATCAAAGGCTTCTACTCTATTCTCTCCTATCTGCTCTACTGGCTCTACTTCTAACTCATTTATGGCTCTAGCTCTACTCCTATTTTCTTTTATCACTTTCTCTGCCCTTTTGCACTCCGCTTTCAGCTCTGCCAGCGTTTCCATTTTGGACGCGAACGTCAAGTTTGCTATGTAGGATTTGATGTTACCTCTAATTATGCCCACCATCTCTTTCTCAGGAATCTTTTTGCGGAGTCTGAAAGTCATGTTGTGTATTTCGCTATAAAATTCGTCGAAACTCTCATTTGGCATCTGCTTTCGTTCCATGATTTCACGGATGATTTCATAGTCGGACTCAGCAGTCTTGAAGTGGTTTAGCAGTTCCGCCTTCAGCTGGAAATAGCCAAAGTCGGGACTATCAGCATGGTCCTCGAGCACCTGCC